CGCATCACATTAAAACAATTCCCATGTCCTCACCCCAATCGGAGCTCATCAGGAGTCCAGCCACCGATCACAGCCTTAAAGCATCATCAACCCACATCCCCTTTCAGCAACTCTCAACCCCACACACCTGTCTCGGTATCACAATCAGGCCAGCCTGACCAAGGCCCCAATGCTACCATCGCCGCAGACAACCCTGAACCCGAACCCCATTCCCCAAAACCCCTCGATACCAAGTCATCAGACCCATGAATTTACGACATGAATGTCCGACGATTTTACATTTCTTCCACTACCATATCTTACTACCTCTTAACTACCTTTCATCCTGTAGTATATTTTTGACTCATGCCCAGGAGGCCATTTCTGCATTGAGGAAACTTGAAGTTTCCTCATGTCAAGCCGAACGGATTTGAGTGTTCAGCTTAGAATGCATGTATACGTTGCCATTTCCTATCATCTATACAGCAAGCTCTAATGTCTTGTCTAGTGTGTTTATTGTGGAAATTGTTTTTACTTACGGATCATTGGGGACAATAACGACTCATGCAGATATGAATTTTCCTGGCTTATCCTAGCTAACTATTCAGCTTACGGGGTGTAATAATAATGTCATTCACCATTCTAAGAGCCATATCATCATCTACAAAGCTGACACGGAATTCATCAAGGCCCCCTCGATTTAGTCATACAGGCACCTTCACACTAAAAATATGCTCGTGTCGCTACTGATGCTATCAATATTGCCGAGCCGACCTGGATTGTCTAAAGTACAGCCGTCGTTGTATATCAAATTACTGGTTAGTCATTATTCGGAGGGTTCACATGAGCATTTCCAGTTGCTTAACGTGTAATCGTACGATGTAAGGCCGTCGTTTTATCCAGCAATGAACCGAATTGCAAAGAAAAAACAGAATGCACTATTTTCAAGAAACTCCTGCCACTCTGGAGTTTTCTTGGCGATTTTTCGCGTGTACTTCTCGAGTTGATTTGCACAATTAACGAATACCGTTGATGGGTTGTTATACTTTCGACAATTATTGAAAATCAACGTAAAATCGTCAAAAAGGCCTTTTGGAGTAGTATAAAACCCAAGTTCCAGCCTGTCTTCCATCGTTGACAGGTCCATTGGCTGTTCAATGACATCATAATAACTGGGGGCTTCGTCTTTGTCAACAGGGTTAGTAAAAGGCCATGCGCTTTTGTGGTTTCGGATCAGGCCCAGAAATTGCCGAAGTTCTTTAAAATAAGGTCCACCGTGTGGCAGTATCCGTGATAGTTCGTCCATGTCAGGAGACCAACCGGCTGCACGAATAGCCAGGATGGAGAGTGGATCAATTGGTGTAATGTCACCGTGGCTGTTAGCCCATTGCTCAGGTGGCTGATGGATAACATGATTTGTGTTGAAGTTACGTATCTTGGCTAGAACACATTCCTTCTGCTTGAGGAGCATACGGCCAGCCTCAAGATACCTCATTCGGGGAAGCAAAGAACATTGCATCAGCGTTCCCCCTTCATAATCCTTAATATAGCCCGCCCAGATAGCTTTATTGAGAGTGATATGTTTTGTAAAGCCCTGTTTTTGAAAATAGCCAGTGGCATAATCATCAGCGTAAGTTAAAAAATGCATCACTGGGGAAGTAGCTCTGATATAGTCTTTCAGATGAGCCATAAGATGTGCTCCATATCCCTTGGCTTGCTGGCCAGTGGAGATTGCACAAAACACAATTTCGGCAAACTTGCGGCATCGGAATTCCCGATATGCTATTCCACCGATAACCCGTAGAGGCATTTTGACAAGGGCTATAGACACATGAGTACGGTCGTAGGCAAGACGTGCGATATACTCTTTGGGCATTTTTGGAAGTTGTTTTTGGAAGAGGCATTTAAGACCTGTGAGAATAATTGTGCTTTCTCTAGAGCCATCATTGTTGACTACCCGATACTCTATTTCGCCTCTTAGCTCCTCCAGTACTGCAGGCTTGACAAAGTTAGGGACATACTGTTGTATCTAGGGGTAGTGGTATGGTTACTTTGTCCGGAAAAGGGGTCCACTGAGCGATAGTAGGAGGGCTAACATCCAGCTCCGTCGGTTCGTCATGAGAGTCTTTGTTCCTTTTGGCGCTGGGGCCGCTCGCAAGTTCTTTGGGAGCTGGGCGTTTGGCACCGAGGTGACTTCGCGCGTCGTTAGCCGGAAGTGCTCGAGACTCTGTTTTGTCCATCTGTACTGGGCACGGTGAGGTTCAAAGTTAGGATAAGTAACTGAAGTCTATGCAAAGTATCAGAGCTTAAACAGCTGTATCCTTTTCCCTGAGTAATAGAGATGAATCTACAGAGTACGGAGTACTCCATAGTTACTCCATAGCAATGGTTCGTTATTATTGAGGCGAAACCTAAACTCAAGTAAACAATGTTTACTGAAATTGTATTGGCCGAATTTCGGGATGTAAGTAGATCCGCGCACATGGAGCCGGTTCTCGGGGCGCCCTTTCCTAACTAGGCCTGGAATTAGCGTGGGGAAGCTGCGCCGCTTTGATCGTTCTGACCAACGAGATACAATAACTAGGTAACCTCCGGAGCCAACGAGGCCAAGCAGCGCATGCAAAAGCAGGCAAGAGTAGGCAGTGCACGCAGAGCGCCGAACAAGGGACATTGAGCAGTCAGACGATTATCCAACAATTAACGGCCTTGGCTGTGCTGCGTCCATGCCAAAGCCAACATGGGGTAACTAACTAGCTAAATATCAGCCTATAGTTAAAAGCTGGACATCTCTTCATTAACTACCCTTGACGCCTTTGCTTCTCTCACGTAACAGCTGCGCACTTCATTCACGATGATACCATCACCAATTATCTATCTTACTAGCATAATCTTAATGCTAAATGACCCGTTGCATATTTACACTATGAAGCGGTCTAACACGACGTCGATGACTTCTTTCACTCTTCCAGATCTCCATAAACAGGCAGCTGCTATCTTCGATTTTACTAGCGATGGAGACTCAATTCGGGTCACGGTCCCTATAAACAGCACCTGGAATTACTGGGAACATTGGCTTAACCCGCATTCCTTCATCTGTGACGAGGTTACGTCCGTATCTGGCCGCGGTTTCGTCGAAATCTACTATTTTGATGACCCTTCTTCTTCTCGGGGACTGCATCTTCGGAGCGGAGAAAGTATGTCGTTTGGTCCACGTTCTTCGTCTACTTGGCGTCGTGCATATTCTACTCGTGATCAAGAGGATTTTGTAGCCAACTTAAAGGGAGACCGATCGTTCCACCGGAATGTTTGCAGTGCTATCATCGACCGAGACCGCATGGCTTTCCTCTCTTCGACGCCAATCTTGCTACGCCAAATGTTAGCTTTTCTAGGTCTATTTCAATTTTCACGTCCATTCCGTGAATGTATACTTGACCTAATGCTTGCGATTCAGTTGAGAGCAATTTTCTATGCTAATGGTTTTTGGATACATCATCCCACAATTCCGTTCTTTTGGTGGTGGGAATGGCGACAAATATGGGGAGAACCCCGCGTACCGGAATGGGCATATGAGTTTAGGTGGAAAATGCTGAAAGTAATCACGTATACTGTTCAGGGAATATGTTACTGGGTTGGAAGGCTATTCCTCGGGATGAAGGGCAGCTACCCGGAGTATACCCCCTAGTCAGGGGTGGAGGTGGACATGTTGTGGGAGAGGGGAGAGTATAGTTAACTGCTTGGACGAATCATATAACTAGTTAGTGATGATATTGCAAGATATTAACCGATAATATAACTCGTAATTAAAATCCATTAGGTTCTAACTTATAGTAGTTGTGACTTTACATAAGAGGTCTTAATTCTATCCAAACGCCCGTCTTTAATGGATTATGGGCACCGACATGTCTATCAGTTTATTTCAGGGTCCTCTTAGGCATGGTTACACCCGCGCTAAAAGCATGTTCTATAGTAGCGCTTTAAAACCTTTTCCAAGGGTGCCATCCAAGCCCAAGAAAGCGGTAACCTGTCCAAGGTGATCAACACCGAAGAAAGATTCTGTCTCACCCTTTGAATTGGTGCACTCCATCCACGGTAAGCCGAACGCACCGGATTCTACGGACCGTTCCGTGTTTGATACCAGCGTCTGCTTCATGTCGGCAGCAGTTGCCTGTACTCACAGTCAGTGGGAAACAGAGTATGATACCGTCCAAATACACAGAATGGCCTACCTTCTCCGCCACTTTGATAGCAGCTTCTTTGCCAATCACAGCCTCCAGCACAGGTACATAGCCTTCCGGCTTGATGATAGTTGAGTCCCTATTCACCCATAGTGCATTGTATAACGCATCAATGCAGCCGGTCAATTTTTCAGGGTGATCGGCTGCAACGGCACAGAGAGCCCGCTGGACCTGCATGCAAGTCAGTGAGAAAATCACAAGCAAAAAACCAAACCAGAAAGAAGAGTCATCAAAATTAATATATGTATCGCAAGGGCCGACCTTCACCGCCGGAGATTAACTTACAGCTAGAGTAAAGACGGGAAAACCGTCTGGCATAGCCTCAGTAATGGGAACTCCCAGTAGCTTTGACCATCGCAAACGCTCCATGTTGATCCATTTATCCTTGTCTGCGGGATTTAAATTATATGAAATTAGACGAGCACTGCATGAAGTGGGAAGATGGTCAACAGCTTACTTTTGATACGGATTGGAGGGACGTTCCCCGTAGCCTGGATAATCCCCCCGAGCAGGACAGGGACATACGTCGTGGTGCATTTTGCAAAAACAGGGGAGTTCTGGTGTCGTCAGAAGCACATGTTAGAATCAAAAAAGGCCCCATGCAAGAAAACAAGAAAAAGAGCCTGGACAACCAATCTCGCACTTACTCTTAGCACATGGTAGGCGATGTAGGCAAAGGGGCTGACGATGTCAACATAGAGGGTGATCTTGGGCGCAGCCATGTTGGTGTCCGTAGAAGGCAGGCCGGGAGCAGCAGAAAAGCGCCGGTCGAGCGACAGCACAGCGATCGAAGATGGAGCGGCCGACGAGAGCGATAGATGCTGACTCCTGCAGGCGTCTGTTAATTGTGGCTAGGGATCACGTCCATGCATATAACTAATTGGGGGTGTGGGAAAGAGATCAATCCCCGAGTTATATCAGCTTGAACGAATAACTCGATCAGGCGGAGGTTGAGGTTGAGGCTTGACCCACTGAGATCGCAGGGACCGAGGCATCGCCAGCACCGCACGCGGGCTCAGGAGGCGACGGAGGACCATCTGGCAGACTAGGCTGAGCTGGTAGTTACGAGCGGCGTAAGGTGAAGTCGAGAGAGCGTGCAGATGAGGCGTTGGACATCTGAAGCTCGACGTTGAGGCTGATGTTGAGGTCGAGATCTCGCCAGGCAGCCGGCTATTTGGCCGTCGTTTAGTTACAACAAGCGCCAGCCGCAGGGATTAACTAACGTGTTGTGAAGATCAACTTCGTCATCCGCATCAGAGCAATCATGCTGATAGTCGAGGAGCAGCGTGATGAGCCCCATACTCCTCTCTGTCGCAGCGTTACACGTAGTTAGCTAACAGACAGTCCTTAGAGGCAAAGAGTTGCATCCCATGGAACCAGAGGCCAGCAGCGTGGACGGTGATCAAATGATTGATACCCCAGTGAATAACGATGTCAAGCCTCACCAACTGCCTGCTCGATGGGCTTCTCTCATGATACTCTGCTTGTCATCGAGTCCTTCCCTGGTTTCTCCTTTGGCCATAACGGATGGTCGTTAGCTCTGTCGCAGCTTCTCTCGAGGAATGTGTTTATATTTATACCCGGCGAGTCGAACTGCAGAGGGCGTCTTCTCCGTCTCTTCCATCGGTTGATGCGCTGTCGCAGTTCGACACGGGGAGATACTCTTTTACGGGCCTGTCTTGTTCCTGGGCTACTTGATAAGTACTTCAAGTCTGACGTTCGACGGATATCAGCCGTCTCTCGGTAGAGGCGGCCAGACCCCAGAATGCTACACAGCAGCAACATCACCATGAGTGAGAAGAACACAGCCGAAATACGCAGTCCAGATGCAATGGAACGTCGTCCAAGGACGTTTCTAGACCCAGAGGGTGGGACTCCTATAGAAACCAGCCCAGATGAATCCTTCGACAGGCAGAGACGCCGGGCGGAATACAGCCATCGACCGCCGGTCTGGAATATAAGACCGCTCCAAAACGACCCGCTAGAACCGTCAGACTCAGAACAGAGTCCCGGTATCCGGCCAGCTCATCGAGATCCGGCCGTTGCAGACGCATGCCAGTTCTGCTTGCAAAGACTTCCAGACCCAGCTCTGCCGTCTAACAATCCAGTCCAGCGGCCCTGTCCAGCGCTAGAAAAACCGTCGACTATGGGAAGATCTCTGCGAAAGACGTTCTCCTTCTTGCGAGATCGGTCCAAACCGTCTACTTCTACCATCCCGCCGTACAACGATAGCCCGATAATAAACCAAGATCTTATCCTTCCACGTCTCCAGGCCCGTGGTCGGCTTCCCGATGGCACGGTTTACGAAGAAGGCAGCACAGTAGCCACAGACAGCGACAGCTACCCTCCCTCCAAATCCTCCTGGTCCAAATTTACCGACTTTGTTACCAACCTGCCCTCCCGTTTAAGGGCGTCGACCCGAAGGAATAACGTCAAGAGAAGGTCGCCATATCAAACCGTAGCTACGGACTCATTGGGCTCTTAGTATTTTTGAATACCGCTCTCATCGCTGTCATTACTTTTTTTTGTTACCCTGTTGAGCTTCTCTCTAGTTCTCTACACTCTTCATTAGCATGGGCAACTTAGGCGTTGGTCTATGTTTCTACGTCTACCACTTAGCATTACGACAATGGAATCAGTTGTATAACTAGTTATCCCTCCAGTTCTGTTGGTAGTGCACAGAGAAGACAAAAATAAGCTGTAATTGAATTCATAAGACCGAAACCTCCAACTCCATCGCTAAACGCTTGATCTACTAATAACTATGATTTGGGTCTTGCACCATGCAATAAAATGAACTCCTACTTCTTCCCCCAGTCAAGCTTTGGATCAAAATATCCCCGCTGGATACGGTTGATCGTAGCCGGTTGTAAAAGAGGTGGCTCGTCATCGTCTTCAAAGATGTACTTCGGGTTAACCGCGCGTTTCACAGGGGTACCAGCCGGGCTATCGGCCCCGAATTGCGACAGGGCTGGACCATTTGGAGACTGGCGAGTAGGCTTTGGAGAAGCATAGGCTGACTGTGGCCGAAAGCTCTGCTGGACCGGCGGATCCAAACCAACGGCCTTCATAACGAAAGCGGCGATGTTATCATATGTCTGGTTTTTTCCAACCAAGTACGTTACCATACCCCCAAGCCCCCGGTCTCGCCTATTATAGGTCTCGAAGAGGTACTTCCCGATCTCAACTCTGGTCTTGCCAGCGTTCTTCTGTCTCTCAAGCATGTTGCGTACCTTAACTCTCTCGCGAGAGTCCATATCATACCGATACAGCAGGCCATCGACTTCTACAACGCCTGAGTCTCGATTCTGAGGTCCTCCATAATGCACCGTAGAGCCGCTCTCTGCGTTCTGGAAGTTATACGCTTGTCCTACGTCGAGGACATTTTGATGGCGTATAGAACTCACTGGGCTGATTGGGTATGTGATAGAACCTCTACCACGACAGATGGGGTTAACAGGGCTTATTGTACGCATTGAGGACAGAATCCCAAAGTTAAACGTTGATACTTTCTCTAGTAGCAATAGGGAATACAAGGAAAGATTCAATCTAAGCAGTTGGTGACCGATATCTTGGTCAGTCGTTTGCTTAGAGCGCAACACCGATAACAGTATATTGAATCACAACTTTGAGGTCGGTGTAGCTGTTTTCAACTGCCCTTTAGTGCGCACCTGGAGACATAAGGAAGGGTATATGTCAAAGGAAAAGCGGAAAACTGATTGCTCAATAAGACAGCAAAGGGCAGCGGCAGGTAGTATAGAGAGAAATAGGATTAGAATGAAGGAAAAAGGAACGTAAGTATAAATGATGCAGCTTTTATATCAAAAGCAGGGCCACTTGACAAGAATGATTCCAGTACTTTGGCCGGGCTAGTGTGAACTCACGGAGGTCTGTAGAATATATGAGGTCATCACCATGAGTGATTCCAAGCAGGCAGGTAGTATCCATGGACTTCTGTAGAGCAGGGTATTTCCGCTAAAGCTGACCTTAAAGAGCATCTCGAAGATCTAGACATGAATAAAGGAGAAATGGTGTGTTTTGAAAGAAGTGAGAGAAACAAACATTATTTCTAGACACTTATCACTAGTGCCGGAGATTCACAGGGTATAAAAAGTATCATACACTCAAGTAGAACCTCTAGGAGTACAATTTATAAAGGGTATTTAGTGAATCAAACAGTAATCTATCCTCGTAAACGCCACGTAGGTTACCTTGTTGTCAAGTCACATCATAACTTTAATCAAGCACGAACATAGTGAGTCGAAGGGAAGCAAAGCTAAGATAAATTATCAAATAGGGTATCACCGTGTGATTAAAACAAAGTAATAATGATACCAGGAACCGAGTAAAGAGCTGTGTGTATAGGGCAGAGCATGGTATTCACTGGCAGAGTAGACAAATTCAGGAGTTAACCCCTACTGGAATGGATAGGGTGAAGGCAAATCATAGCCAGAGAACCCAGCGAATCCCCTTGAATGCTCCGAATGCAAGTAGCCGGATAATTTTCCAGACCATGACACTGATCCAAACAATCCAGAAAAGTCCCATAAGCATCCATTCAAAGATTGCAGATAATAGCGTGATGATAGATCGTATTCGGCGATTCCGCTTTCTCAGGCCCTTGTTTAATATATTCTCCAGTTTTTTGACGGGAAGGGTACATTTTGTCCCTAGTTCACTTGCTAGGACCTCGGCCTGGGTATTTAATGATTGAATGCGAACTGTGAGCGTACCGCTAATCTGCCTCTCAAGATATCGGATACTGGACTTCATAGGCGGGGCCTTAACTTCAATGAAATCTTTGATTGCCTTATTATAGGCAGCGGCATGTTTGTCAAATTCGGCGATTGTTTGTCTGGCGGCAAGGGCAGGCACTCCTGAGCTTGAAATATACGGGCCGACATTGGTGTAGTTAACCGGGGCATCCAACCAGGAGTGAATGCAAGATGTAGGAAGGTTCTCAGCATAACGACATATTTCCAAGGCTTTAATACCTGACGATAAGAGACGAGCACGAGCGAAGGAAATGTCTCGTTTATCAATACGGCCAGAGCAGCGGATATATCGAGCAGTCCAGTACCTCATGATGTCGTCCGGTCTTTTTGATGTGGATATATTCCGACCGGTCGTACCTCTATTTGAATCGGGGCTTCGAGCTTCTGTTATTATCTCATCCTTAGAGGGACCATCCCTCTCATTTGAGATTTCGGTTGGTGGAGTGGGCATAAAATCTGGAAGATTTCCTCGTTGAACTGCAGAATTATCGGAGTTCGCCCTTTGTTGATCGCTGAATGAATCTTCCTCCGTAGGTAACTTGGTATCTGCATCCACATATTCCGATAAACTAGACGCAGACGATCGCCTCGAGTGGCCTAAATGATCTTTCTTCCGTATTAAGTCTCCCACTCTCAATACCTCAGTCCCGACTATCTCAGCGATCCGGCTTCCTTTAAGGAGCCTCTTCCAGTCCTGTTGGCCATTATTGCGCGTATTCTTTGCAGGTGAACTGTCTGATCTTCGGAAAACTGGGGTCCTTTGCCCCTCGGGCCCCGAAGGAGAGCCTGGCGGAGAGAGATTGGAAGTTGTGTGGCGATGAGATAGAGTGCCAGAATCACCCGGCGATTCTGTGGAATCCGTATTCTGCCCTTGTTTTTGCCGACTGGGCTTCCTCGAATGGCCTAGATAGAATGGATGCCGTCGGCCAGGGGATGTAGAACGGCCTCGTAGAGGTGAAAGGTTTATTGACATGCTTGGGAAGAACCCCCTGGGCCCGGGAGTGCTGAAAGGACTGATGTCGTCATGATTCGGCATGTCCTGAGAGTCATTTATCCCCCCATCACTTGCCAAGGAAGAGCTCGAAGCAGCATATTCGCGACGTGGCGATAGATGGGGATTGGATTCAAGATCCAAGTTAGGGAGAAGTGTGTTTTTCGGGGTATTTGGATGCCTCAACTTAGACTTATGCATATTTTCAGTATCGGAAGAACCTTGATTTGGGGTGACAGGCCTGTCGCTATTTAGTATAGTAGTGTTTCTTCCAGCGGGCTTGTCGTTATCGCCGGATTCTTCAGCTTTCGCTTCTAATATGGAACGATTCTTTCCCCAACTTCCGCCCTTGTAGCTACCGTATGAACGGCGCGAAGATTCAGAGGAGCTCCGAGGTCGTTTCTTAACTGGAGATTTGCTTTGTCTTCTCAATCTGCTATGACTTGGAGTCAAGTTAATCGGCTGGGCCAGTCGATGTCTTAAGCGCCCTCTTTCAGTGTTTTGCTGGCTCTGGGTGCCAGGTGGTGTAGCTGTACTGAAGGGTTGGATATGCCCTATTTCAGGGTCGGTATCAGCATGTATGCTAGATTCCTCCATGGAGCCAAGAGATTCCACTTGACTTGCACGGGAATCAGGAAGCGGTATGGGTTTGATGCCATGAGGGAACAATTTTTTCCCATTTCGATCTTCGACCTTGGCCTTGTTGCCATCCTGTTCGTACCAAACGATATCGGCAAGGAGATCTAATGGAGTTGTCGCCCAATCCATTCTCGGGCGACGTCGCACAACCTCTCCAGATTTGGTATGTGTCAAATCCTGATCCGACTTGTCTTCTAAATCGATACTGGCCGCACAGGGGTTAAATTCTGGCAGATCGATATATTCATCAGGCCTCCGCAGATGTAGATCTGGGGATTGAACAATAAAATCGACCCACTCTGAGACCTTCTCAGTATCTCCCCATCCTGCCGCTTCAGAATCAATAACTTGTCTTTCCCTATATCTCACTTTTCGATTGCGTAAATACTGCAAAGGATTGTACTGTCTGCCTTCTGAGATATCATTTTGGTATTCACGATTTGTTTGATGTCTGCCGGACGCGTCTCCAGTGGAAGGTAGACGTGGAAGATGTGGAAGTAGGCGCAGATAATTCTCAAACAACTCAAAGTGTTGTTTAGCCTTCTCAGTCCTGGCAAGAGTTGCTTGCGAGAGTTGAACCTCACCATAATGAGTGGCTCCATATCTAAGATCAACTGTACCCTGAGATTCTGATGGTCTTCGCGTTGGAGTTTCAATTTCAGAGTGCCGAGGAGACTGTATGGGGGACTGTATACCGTGAGGTCTGGAACTGACTATAGAGGATGATAACCTGGTGCGCTGGGTCCCGCTTGAAGCCGTACGGGCTGAAAAACTCCTGTTGCGCGAGTCACTCAGACTTAAAGCAAGGTTGACAATTTGAGCAGGATCTGTATCCAGCCCAACTGATGGAGACTGACGAATATGTACGCGTGATGAACTTTCCGGGGTATACGGTACATCTCTTGGGTCATCCTCTTCATGTGATACAACATTTGAGAGCGGTGAACTGCCAATTGATGGCTTGGGTGTATGAAGCTGACGACGTTGCTGAGAGTTGCGTTTGGGGATGACCAGCTCACTATCATCACTTTGATGACGGATGGCGTCTTTGCCCCGTCGACCCACACTCCTCCAGGCAGAGTTCGAATTTGATGGCCCCGTGGGGGATTCCAGTCGAAATGTACTGCTCGATTGCTTTCTATGTTTCCTCTGGAGAAGATAGTCCGATCCTGGTGAGGGAGTTTGGTCCAGGCTTTCGCCCCTTTTGGAACTGGGGGTGGCTACTCCATAACCCCCTGGAGCATGTCTGTCCGAGTATTCACTTCGGCCTTGATCTAACTCTTGAGAAGAACGGGCCATTGGAGCTATGAATTGACGATAGCTCCAGGAAGCTGGCTGATGAAATGTTATCAAAAACAAAGCTATAGCTATGCATGTGATTAGACCCTGCCTGAGACATGGGACTAGGTCAAACAAGGAAAATGTGATAATAGTGCGCCAAAGGAGAAGTAGGGCAAGTTCAGATTGACACCAGCCTGGTTGGAAAGCAGTTGATAATCACTGCCGTCTCCATTCAAAAAAAAACGAACATTCGAAACCGTCGTTGATGTTGATGTTGATGTTTGATGTTTGTAGTTCGATGAAGATCCGCAGTTACTCCTTTTTTGCCTCTTTGGGGGAGGCCTGCGAGTGCAAACAGGACAAACATGTCACGTGAAGACCGCCTTGCGTACGCCTTGATATAAAAAGCCGCCAGCAGGAGAGAAAAAGGGGGACAAGAAAGATACGGACGGAGAGTCCAGTAATTACGTTTTGCAATTCTAGTAGATACATTGAGATCTGTTTTACAGCAAGAAACTAAAGTTCTAAATGATGGACAGGGCTTTTGAATGCAAAGATGGTTAAGGAAAAGTAATCGAGGAACTAGTGTCCCAAGCTCTCGACCTGGAGACATTTGAGACGGGCTTCCGTTTGAATGACCTAGAGCAGTTCAAATTAGTATTCAATCTAGTATAGAAACAGAGGCCAATGCAATAATAAGGGGTAACATACCTCCATGGCTTGCCTAACTTCCAAAACTCTTCTTACATCGGCCAGCCAATCCTTGCTGAGCAATTTCGACCATCCGCGAAGGGCATTCATCTCACGAGCGGCGTCGTCAAGGTTGCCCTGCTGAAGCAGCTTCTCCGTGCGAGTGAGTATACTCTCAACATCATCTCCGCTGGAAGAAACTTCTTTCTTGAACATAACTTTGCTCATCAGGTAGCTGGTAGCGTGGCTAGCAACTCCCGCATCTTCGGGGAGGAGGCTTGCCTTGCGGACCTCATTAGCGACTCGCCTGAATCGGTCAATTATCTGGGCAGACGATGGAATTCCGCGTTGATAAGCAGTGGGGTTTATTGAAGAGATGGCGGCATTGACGATGGGATCTTGGCCGGCGAGGCTCTTGACAGCAAGAAGTTCGTTGATGAATGGCCGAGGCATGCTCTCACTCTCAAGAGCACTGTGGACAGCGTCAACAGCGACTTGGAGCTGCTGGGTGGTCAAATTGGCACCAATAACGTCGTTCCATCCGGCGGTCAGCTTTTCCAGCTCGGCAACCTGGGCGGAGAGCTCAGACAGCTTGCTAAAGCGGCCCTCACGCTCCCTTTCAACAAGAGTATCAACGTCGTTAAGGAACTTGCGGTTCAATTCGATTGCTTGCTCAACTAGTTCATTTCTAAGTCGCTGTTCTGCAACCGCATTGGCTCTCTCAATCTCGGTCTTGATCTTTTCCTGGTAAGAGTTAGCAAGCTTCTCGCGCTCTGTCTCGTATTCTTCACGATATTGGGCAGCCTCTTCTGCGCGAGCCTCATCGATTCGTCGAACAAGTTCGGTAGCAGATCGGTCAAATTCTTGGTGAGCGTTCTTGATTTCCTCCTGAGCCGCAGCAAGCGCCTCCTTCTTAATACTAGAAATTTGCTCTCCTAGCTTCAGGAAGTCCTCCTTTGCTTTGGCAATGGGAGCGGCGAGCTTAGAAGCAGACTCATCCGCATTTATAACAGCAATAAGTCCGTTAACAATCTTGGCCAATTCCTGGATGGCTGGGTCATCTTGTAGAGCTGCCAATGGCTCAATGCTTGCAACTGTAGCAACTGCTGGCTTCCTTGGCTCATCGAGCGAAACGGCGGCTTTCTTAGTGTCAGTAACCGGGACTCTTTCCTTGCTTTCTTCCTTCTTGGAGCCGGTCTTTTCGGAAACTTTCTTGTCATCGGCAGCTGGTCGTTTTGGCGCAGATTTTGAATCATCACTGGGACGAGGCACTTCGGCATCCACAGCACTCATATGTCTTCCCTTATGGGATACATCACTAGTGCCGTCATTCTCAGACACCTTCCATGAAACACCGCTCTTGCTGGGTATAGTTACTTTTTCGCCTTCATTTCGAGGAGCAGCCGGGCGGGTGTTGATGTGTCGGGTAGCATTGGGGAATCGACGGCGGAAATCAAGTTCCTCGAAGTACAGTACAGCCTCCTCGCCGTAGGGAATATACTCCGTAAAGAAATCGTGGAAGTTATCGGATCTGAGAGAAAACCACACTCCTCCGGCATAGGCAACTCCCGCAACGAGAACGAGATACAATAGCGACCTGCCGAATTTTCCCTTGGCCTTAGGAGTAGGAGGCGGTGGTGGAGGAGCACCGGCATTAGCTTTCGGGGGCTCAGGCGGGTTTACCGATGAGCCATGGGAAGTCTGAGCAGCAGGCGAAGAAGATGCCGATTTCGAAAGACCTTCTGGCGTTATAGCCGAGGCAGAGGATGGAGAAGGTGGTGATCGAACATTTGGCTCATTGCCACGGGTTGCGCTGGTAGTGAATGTGGCATATGAGGTTTTCCGGGCTGGCAATACACTGGCAATTGAGCTCTCAGAAGGCCAGCCGGCGCTTCTAGCTTTGCTATAACTCCTCTAAAGAATGAAACAAGGCACCGTTAGCAGACAATCGTCTAGTATTCTGGACATCGGAAGGCGTTATACAGACCTTGCTTATGAGGTTTCGTCTGGATGTGGTGAGCCTTTGCCGGGTCAACGAGCCCAGTCCTCGGGACGGCGCAATTGAGTTGCGCAGCATGCTGGGCGTTATATGCCGCTGGATTGTCGACAGAAGCTGGATGGCTGTCTGCTCATGGGCTGAGAGGCAGAGAGTGTGCTGTGTCGTGAGAAGGCGACGTCGAGTGTTTTGTTTGGTGACAGCAAAAAGTGGTTTCGGTCGGAAAGAATTTAGCGCCGCTTTTATGCTGTTACGTCGCTGCTTTAGTTAAGGGTAGACAAGGCGCTCTTCCAGAGGCAGCTTTTGAAAGACATTCCATTTGGTTATACTTGGTATAGCAGACCATGGCTTAGCTGATTACACTTGCTCGGCACCGAGGCCACGGAGTAACAGAAAGAAAGGGGAGTTTGCAGAGTGGTAACAGCGGAAGGCATAACAAATTACAATGTGAATAACAGAGAAACCAATATTAACACCAAGGCAGGGCATGACGGTGGAAAAAGTAACAGATATTAAATCGTAGATAACAGGAGGAAACACACGCCGCAAGTTGATATCTAATAAAGTAGAAGAGAGAGGGAGGGATGGAGAGGAAACTCCATCAAGAGCAGTGTATAAGGTAGACTGACGACGGATACAGGGGAGCTGTTCCAAGATGTTGTCGGTTCAATATCTCATGGCCAGGGGGTATGTGAAAGGACGCCAATGAAACCGTACTAGATGATACCGCCGTTGTGCCAGGGAGGTACGCCGGGTTTCTCTCGTCACTCGTTTCCACTTCTTCATTACCCATGTACATTTCAAAAGCAGCCAGCATAAAAAAAAGAAAATAAAAGGTAGAGATCATCTAATACAATCAGCAACTGCAGGCTCCTCCTTGCGTGTTCGCCGACTCCGGACGTAAGTCAACGCCCGGTCTTGGGTTTGCTCGCAGATTCCGTGGGCCGGCCTGGTCAAGCGGTAGTTTTTTCGCAATTGCAGTAAATAGCTCCCGTACATTCGTTGATGTCTTGGCAGAGGTTTCGAAGAACAGCAAACCAGCCTCTTTGGCATAGGCAGCTGCGTCTGCGGTTTCGATGGCACGCTTGTCAGGGCTTTCGTTGACAAGATCGAGTTTGTTTCCGGCAAGCGCAATGATAATATTCTCATTCGCCTGTCTTTGAAGCTCCTTTACCCATGACTTGGCCTTGTCAAGAGATGCCTATACACTCCGTCAGATCTAGTAACCCGGTAAATAGCATAACAGGAGAACATTTCTTACAGCCTGAGTTATATCATAGACAACGACAGCACAGTTGGCATTTCGGTAGTACATGGGTGCGAGCGACTTATATCTTTCCTGACCAGCGGTATCCCATATCTCGAACTTTACCGTCGTAGTCTCGTCAAGTGATATGGTTTGTGTAAGGAATGCAGCGCCGATAGTAGACTCTCGGTAGTCGTCAAATTGATCCTAAAACAAAGGGGGGCCACGAGTCAGAACTCCGCATGTAAGGCAGACATGTAAATACATATATGTATACAAAGATGTCCACTCACTTTGACGAATCGCAAAACCAGCGAGCTCTATAATATTTAAGGAGCCGTCAGTCATCTCCTCAGAGTAAGTTGAAGTATTATCGATTACAGAGTGGGAGGTTCACCTTTCCGACAGCGGACTCTCCTATATACACATACACCCGTTAGCATCAACTTCCATATTTAGACCTAACGTCTGCTATAAGAAGCGGGGACACCCACCGAGAAGTACAAGCTTAAACTGGGCAAACCTAGCACTAGGCCGGCCTCCTGGTGCTCTTGCAGCCATGATTGTTCTCTAAGAGCTGGATGCCGGGGCGTAGAGGGGGCTGGTCCGAGGTCCAGGCGAATCGTAGATACCTAGACAAGGCAACAAGCGGACGATGCGAGGTGCGAGGAGCTGCTAAGCTGAAAGGCTGGCCGTATATGTGTGTGCGAAGGGCGTCTTTGGCGGTGCTTTTAAGCAGGCAGATGACGGTCGAGATGGCGGTCGAGATGACGATTGATGCTGGCTGATGCTTGCTCGCTACTTTGCTTTGCTTGTCGTTCTTTGGTTCCTTTGGACTTTGTCAGATGACGGAGGCTGCTTACGTTATAAATGTCACGTGGATGATGACATCAGCCGCAGTCAACATAGAAAAAAGGGAATGACGTTTCAGGAGGACATGCAGGAAACAACAGAGACTACATTCATTTGATACGGGGAAAGTATTACTCTGTATGATACCCGGCAGTTCTGACATGTTTAGCCGGTCAAAGGCTCTTCGCTCCCTGCAAGTCTCGCTTTCTCCCTGGCCAAAAAGAGCTCCTGTTCCTTCCGACTAGTTGGCACATCCACGAAGAAGAAAAGGAATACAAAGCTCGCCAGGCTAAGAGCAAACAGGAAATAGAATGGAGTCGAATTGTTCCCTGATGGCGACGCATCTATGATGGCGCTGGAAACCAGTGGGCCGATGAAAGAAGATGTCTTTCCAATGATGCTGAACAGACTAAAAAAGAGGAACTCCTTACCCCGGGGAGTCACTTCCGATATCATGATCTGGCTGTAGCTGTACCATGGACAGACAAAGAGACCGTAAAACGCCTGATAGGCCCAGACTTCCCAGGTGTTGTGGAATCCAAAGCGAGTGGTCCAGATGCCAATCATCCCCCAGCCATCAAGGAGAATGATGGCGATGGCAATAACATTGAACATCGTCTTGGGTTGTAGCTTGAAACGTTGCTGTATTGCCCAGAAGGCATAGATTCCGATAGCCTGTGGAATGGCCCAAGAATGTCAGAGGGATTAATTACCGGATATAGAGGATTGCCTTACTTGGGAAACGATGCCAACAATAAGAAGGTATGTCAACTGGAGTGTGTTATATGCAACGATGCTGTTCTGAAGAGTTGCAATCACCGTAACTGTGGTATTTAAGGAGTCTCCAAGCAAGAAATATCCTTCGTTCGACGGTTAGCATACAGCAAATAGCCAAGAGAATGCAAGCCATACCGATAAGATAGAATAAGCTTTGCCTTAGAGACCATATCTCCGTTGCTGCACAATACAGCTGCCGCAAACCCGCCAGGACGATATTCTTACCACCAAGGTCCTGTCCAGGCCGCCTCTTCTCCAGGATGAACCACGGTATCGACAAGACCAGCCAAACAGCCGTTGCAAATGCTATAAGGACACTTAAGCCCTTGTTATTATTGGCCTCACTAGCATTGACGTCCAATGCAAACATAATGCCGACAATGATGGCAAGTATGAACACTTCCCCAACAGACTGGACATAAAAGGCTACATTCGACAACTGGCTTCGCTTCATTGAGTCGACTTCATCAAACTCATCTTTCGTAATAAGGCCAGCCCGGTATTCGTCGGCCTTTTGTCGAATTTCCAAGGTGTTTCTCGCAAGGCCAGGAAAGGCCGCTGTCCAAAAAGTCAAGCAAGTCTGGTAGGCGATTAGACCTACTATGTAAAGACCAGATGCAATGTGCCATTTTTCAGAGGTGTGGACGTCAATCCATCCAAAGCCAACTGCGTATGCGATGATGGATAGCACGATGAGTATATTTGGCCTCCAGGTGCCGAAATCAGCAAAGCTACCGATGCAGAGAAAGACAAGCACCTGGATAGCGAAGGATATGCCGTTACTCAGCAGTACGATGCTGTTGATTGTTCGTCTGGAGCCAGCAAAGACCAGTGTTCCTTGAGGTCCTGCAGCCTGAGAAAGCAGGTTTTGAAATGCGGTAGGAGCAAAGTCTAGGGGTTGAGAGAGAGTAGATTTCACATAAGAATAATTATCCCCAGGATAGTAAACGTAGAGAGAGGTCAATTGATGCAGAGAACCCACTGAAGAGCGTCAGTCCGTTATTCCCGACGTAGTAACTGCAGGAAGAGTGTCAGTATATCAATATTGAAGGAGTAGCCAGGGAGCTATTTGTCAATGTTCATGGTGAAGGAGAGCTCAACACACGCATAATATGCCCAAATCTCCCATTTAGACGTCTGGAATCTTTCATCCAGGGTATCAGTTGTAGGTCCGTCTGGTGTTTCGGCATCTCTTGTATCTACACTGGCTTTGGTCGCCGCATCGTCGGCAGCCAGATCCAACTCAGCACGCTCAACAGCCATCGTATCTGTTTATGTCCGAAACCAAGGAGCCTGGATATATCGTGGGAGATTTGACGCAAGTCCTTTCAACTCTTGAAAAGGCATCCTGCCCATCCTTTTACAGTGATCAGCCGCCGAACGGGGTTGTTCCCTGTTAGTGCCACAGTTAGGGCTGGAGAGCGTGACATCGGGCCTTTTTTTTTCTGTTAAAATTCGGTATCCTCGGCAGTTATCAGCAGGTAGTATTACTTTATCTTTTTTATAAGGCAAGAGAGGCAATATTGATATAGAACTATAATGTTATTAATCTGTTTTCTTACCATGGGTGACGGGAATCTTGTCCTTTTTATCAGATTGAGGGTTAGTAAATGGTCCATGGATCTGAGTAGCTACTTGGTAAAGTTACAGGTGCATGCCAACACAACCTAGATAATCAACTAGTTACTAAATCGCATTCAAAAGGTCGTTCGAATATAAGCAAAGTGTCACATAGACATCGTGATTCATGGACTAAGATCAAAAATAGTTATATATATACTATATAATCAACGAACGACATAGCCCTGTAATAATCATATCGCCGAGGAGATGGCAATTGAACGCCTATCTACTTCTCGAGGAACTTGGAAGCCATGTTCAACAAGCCAGAAGCCCCACCCTGCTGCTGCTGTTGTTGATGCTGCTGCTGCTGCTGCTGCTGTTGGTGGTTATTTCCGCCTCCTCCAAGAGCACCGGCAAGAGCAGCCAGGCCACTCTGCTGCTGAGGTTGTTGCTGCTGCTGGCTTCCACCTGTCAACGCACCAGCAATGGCAGCAAGGCCGCTCTGCTGCTGGTTACCACCACCTCCTCCCAAAGCACCAGAAATAAGAGCAAGGCTGCCGAGGCCACCGAGTCCGCCCATTCCACCACTTCCACCACCCAGCTGGCCCTTGATATACATCTTCAGAGCATACTCGGCAGCCATGTTGACAGCAGTTTGCTTATCAGTGTTCTACTTACGTATATATGTCGTCAGCAACTAGTTACTAGATCGCCGTCTTGTTAAGGAATTGAGGACTCACCACACGGCCCTCCTGGTTCTTCTGCTCCCACATCTTGCCAGCCTGCGCCATAGCCATACCAATAAGCTGGTTCTGGTCACCACCGCTCTGCTTTTGGCTCTGTCCCTGCTTCTGGTCCTTGTTCATAAACATCTTGAGAGCCTGCATGGCTGCTCCAGAACCCAAGGAATCTGCACCATGCTTCTCATTTCGATCATCTGCATCTCCATAGAGCATCTGGTGGGATTGCACCACCTTCTGCTCGTCGATGTCCTCGCGGCCGATCTTCTCCTTCTTGTCTCCCAGGAAGCTCATTGCCTTGCTGAAGAGGGAGTCGTCATCGTCTTCCTGGTCTTCACGGCCATGCTTCTCGTATCTGGCCTGTCTGAGGGCCTGGTCTCGGTCCAGGTTGAGTTGGCTTCCGTTGTAGTAGTCTGCGGCCTCACCGCGGTGCTGGGTGTCGTTGAAGGACATGGTGTTATGCAGGTATTGTGAATGTAAATAGAGGGGTTCGTTCGATCTATGAAACACGGAACAGGGCAGAGAGTTTGCTGGTCAGCTAGATAGAAAACGAATTGGCAAAGTGACAAGTCGATTGATAGGCAGAAGAGGACTGACTGGATGGGTTTGCTTCGTCTGGCTCTGTCCCCTAAGGCCGTCCCGTCTTATATAGATAGCTGTTGCTTGCGGGTGGCGAGTTAGCTGCTGGAGGGGCAACTTCGGGAGGGCCAAAACAAACCGCCTGCTAAGCCCCCTTTCCTCCCTCTTTCCCCCCACCACCACCGCCACAGGCTGCTAGTACCTCCCTCGTTGATTGACAAGTACATACCCATACCAGTCAGTGCGGGCAGCATGGACAGGGGCGTGCAGGGAGGGGATAACGGGGTGGGCATCAGCCAATGCGGCCTCCATGGCCAAGTGGACATCAGGTGCAACAAATCTGATGGATCGCATGAAAAAGAAACGGGCAAAAAGAGACAAGCAGCAAGGCAAGACACGGAAAGAACAACGTATGTACGGAGTCAGAGGAGACAATATCAGAAGAACACGTAGATTTGAGTAATTTGATAGGTACCTAACTAGAAGCTAACTAGCTAAAGGAGGTTCCTTGATTAATTCTCCGTTTCTTTTTTGTTATTCCCTGCGTAGGTCGATTTGAACGTGTATTTTTTGCAAAGTTGCTCCCCCCAATAAATATGCAGTGCCCAGAATACAAGCCCGTGTCCGTTTCCATTTCCATTTCTCCGATTCCGATGAGTCAAACGCAAGCAAAATAAGTATAAAGTCGTAAAAGCGTGAAGTATTAGTAAAGAAGGGAAGTTCGGGGTGAAGGGGGAGGGAGAGAAACCGCGAAAAGAAAAAACGAAAAAGAATTGTCCTGCCGTCTTGAGGATCCCATGCACGATGCGCCCCTTGAATAAAAAATGCGCCCCTTTGAAAACAATAAAGAAATGAGCGAAAAGCAATGTGTGTTGTTGTATTGTACGCTGTGGAGCTTGAGGAAAGTTGTCGAACTGTGGAGATCACTGTAAAGCCGTTGGTGAGAGAAGGAAATCTAAAAGCACAGCTGCAGAGAGTCGTGTGGGCAAAAGAAAGCCCAACTTTTTTTAGGTCGTTTCGTGGTGTTTTTTCCGGGAGAGTCGGGACGATGGAAGAGCTTGTTCTGGGGAGAGGTAAAAACAAAGGAAAGATAGGTGAAAGGCATCGTGAATTCGTGGTGATAGCCATTGCATAGGTCGTTGCGAGTCGTCACTGGTCATTGAAAAGCGTGAAAAGGGGACGTTATATCGTATCACTCGTCGAGAAAAGGCACGCCATGCACAAAGGCAGAAAACTCCGGTTTCGTGGGATAGCCTAACTCCAAAGAACACCAACTTGGAATACAAGAAGGAGATGATCAATGAAAGGAAGCTATTGAGGGGATAAGGTCAACATGATCTTTAAGAGGATCCTTGTTCAAAATCATGCCAAAAGGCGAGAAGCCCAAGAAGCCAGACCAAAGGATGGCCGGGGGGGAAATGAGATGTTTCCAGGTGTTTATCCCAAATAAATATTGAATCTTGAGAATTCTGCGTCACTCATGAGCCTCAAGTACCGGATCCTACGCTCGCTGGCACTCAAGACGCAGCGTGGATCATCATCCAGTTCGGCTTCGGGGAGCCATTCATTAGGCAGGTCTGGATAGTAGACATCACCGCGGGCTTCGATCTTGGCGCGTCTGGTATGACCAATGCCGAATTCTTGACCCCATTGGATGCGGTCGAACTCCATGAGACCTCCAAAACGAGAATCCATGTTAGAGAGCCAGATACGGCCGCCGTCAGGGGTGAAGTCGGCTCCGCCAATTTCACCAAAGAACTCGTGGACTTGACGGGTCTGGTAGTTTTGAGCGTTGACGATGACGAGGCGGTCGGCAGGCTCACACATGAGCAGCGAACGGGGTCCGCCGCCAACAGGGGAGAAACGGAGGGAACGGTATCCCGCAACATCCGAATCAAGGGTCTGGAGAACTCTCCACATACGAGCGTCCCAGATGTTGACGGTCTTGTCCTGGTTGCTGGTGGCTATGTGCAGCATATCAGGGGACCAGGCGCATGCAAATCCAAAGTCGCGGTGGCCGGTGAGGGGCTGAACCGGTTTGCCAGTCTCACTGTCAACAACCCAAGAATCAGCAGAGTCGCCGACAATAACACGAAGACGGCCGTCGGGAGAGGTATCGGTGCAGTTGATCGCACGAGCAAAGCTATGAGTTCCAATGAACTTGTTTGTCTCGCAGTCAAGGATGCGGATAGAGTTATCGTTAGAGGCAATGATGGCCTGCGGAGTGTGGCTCGTGCGGTGTTGAACAATGTCAATGTGGTTGGTGATTCCATTGAGATGCTTGGTGATACGGCCTTCAACCTTGTCATAACCATGGATTTCGCCCTTGTATGCATATTCACCGCTAAAGCCACCAACAACAGTGACACCGTGCTTGGCCTTCATGGTAGAGATTTTCAGAGGTTCAGCCACGGGGTTGGAAGAGACTGATTCGGTAAGCTCGAGGATGGTGTCTTGCACGTCGTAGAATGGAGTGACCGAGTAGACCTTGTTACGGTAGACATACTGCACAACGTTAGATGCCCTCACAGACATGAGGTTGCGAAGCTGGAAATGAGCCATGGTGGCTTTGAACTTGGTGTACATGTTCTTGGCTTTGAAATAATTCTCAGTATCGCGTGGAGTGATTGCATACTAGAAAGAAATCATGCGAAATTAGATCCTTGACGGGAAAAGGGAGTAAGGATTGGGAAAGAGTAAACATACACCATGAGGCTCGAAGCGCAAATTATGGTAAGAAGTATACCACTGGTCGCGTAGGGCACGAGCAGCAGCTCGGTCCACGTCCAACTTGGACATCCATGGGATGTTCTGGATATCGAAATAGCGACCTTTGTGGTCATCTGGGCGCGAGATCTTGGTCGGTCTCTGCCAGTTCTGCACATTCATAGCCTCTGGGGCTATTGCAGGGTACTTGTGCTTCATACCGAGTCGATCCCGAGACATACGAGCGCGGAGGTACCACTGACGGATGAACTGTTCAACGGTCAAGTTGCGTTCGAATGCTGGCGAGTGGCGCTTGTTAGTATTCTCATCAGGAACAATGTGGTTTGGAGGCAAAACACTCTGGGAGTAGATGCTAAAAGTATAGGGAACCATGATGAAAGAGTAATAGTAAGGAATAGGGAGTGATAAAGAAGGCTTTGTGCGGAATCCAACTGTATCAAGGATGAAGGAGGTAAAGGATGCTTGTCATGCCCATGTTCAGGCTCAGACTTTAGAAATGTCAACAGAAGGAGGTTTTGCTCAGGGGTTGGGCCTTTTATAAACAAGAGGTGAAGGTAAAGTGCGTCGCCGCATCTTAGTTGGCGGGACAGATACATTCACACTGACCAGACGGTAGCAAAGCTTGAAGGAAACGCATGATGAAGTTATAAGGGGATTAGAAGGGAGAACAACAGTACATACTCTCAGTGTGCATAGAAATGTCTGCCATATCGGCGTCAGCCCCATTAGGATCAAAATACTGATCTCCAGGGTCTGGTAAGGCAAATTGGAGCAACTCAATTGGAGGAAACTCCCCCTGCTCAACTGGCGGAGTAATAGGGCCAATGGTGTTGTTATTAGTGGCATTTGTATTATGGTTGGTGCTCAACCGTTCCCGTTGAGTGGGTGGTAAGGGAGAGACACTACCGCAGATGCTATCGGAGTCGCGGTACGAGTCATCATCATCGGATGGATAAAACTCTCCAATGTCATCGTTTGCATCCTTCTCGGAGCTGGTGGATATGGAGCCAGGGCCCATGCCGACTTTGTCATGTGGAAGCCTATCGAGCTCGAAACCAGAAAGCTCAGTGTTTTCGATTAAGCTACCATTGCCATCTGGGGGCTCCATCCACTGGTCGTCTTGCCAGCCATCATCAGTATCGTCGTTGGCCGACTCTTGCACGAAAGGAGTAGGGTCGTCGAGGAGTTCCTCGACGTCCTCTAGCTCGTCCATATCGCGATCGTGGTAAAGGTTGGACTCGTTAGATAAAAGGGTCAAATGAGCTGGGATATTAGACAGGGAGTCAAGGGCCTGTATAATAGCCTGGGGATTCGCGCCTCCTTGTTCGCCCTCAATTATCGTTCCCTCTTCTGGAGAATGTGAGGAAGCGAGAGGTGTAGACAATAGGCCACCTGTTGGCTGAGCAAATGGCTCAAAGAGAGATGGGGGAGGAGGGTCTAAGGAAAAGGTTAGATAAGTGTGTATATATAAATAAATAAATAGAAATATATATATATGTATAAAGTAATATAAAAAGAAATCACAGTTAAAAAGAAAGAAATATCACTAACCTTCACGCGCCTCAGTGGTGGGCGGAAGTTCTTCGTTCATAGCTAGATCTTCTTGCTTGGTGATATCATCTACTATTTCAGTAGCAGGTAGATGTGGAACACTCTGAGAGGAGGATGGCCCAGTTAATGTCTCAGTCTGATCAACCATATCTTCCTTAGCTGCTAGATAGTTCATAAGCAGAAGAACATGTCCGGGTCTCAGTCACCAACTGGCTTGAATCCGGAACTTGTTTAGAAAACAAAAAGACGTGAAGCCTTGAAATCTGGACAATAGTTCAGATAGAATCAACAAGGCTGAGGACCTTGATTGGTAGATGATGAGTCTCTTTAAAAGACCTCGACTGGACCCAGTGCTAAAAAAAAAAAGAGAGACGAGCTATGCGTCAGTGAAAAGGAATAAAAAAGGGAATAGATGATAGGAAAAGGAGCAAATACATACCTTGAAGAAAGAGCCAGCCTAGAGAGCTATATTCTTCTGTTGCTGCTTCTTACGCTTCCTTGAAGAATTGGCCACCACAAGATGGATGGCTTAGAGAAAGGGGAAAAAGGAATATGTTGATCAAGAAGAGGAAGAGAAGAGAAAAGAATAAAGGGAAACGGAAGAAGAAAAAAGAAAAAGAAGGGAGCGAGAAGAAGAAGCAAAGAGATGTGTTACACAGGCGATTAAGCCAGAAGATGTAGCGGCCAAGAAAGCAGGGCCAAGTATGTGTGTTGCTCCAAAGGGTAATAGGAAGTAAGGTGAGGAGGAAGCGAGAAGAGGGTGAGGCTTGTTTGATATCACCACCACTTACGCAGGAGGAAGTGAATAACAAGACACAAAGAAGATTGAGATGGCGTAATAAAAGTAAATAGGGAGAGGACTGTAAGATAAGGGAGACAAGAGAGATATGCAAAGAAGATGCCAATGCAGTCAGTGTGTTGGTTATTATTGTCAGTTTAACGCGCGTAGCTTCCAATCAGTCAAGAAAGAAGATATCCTGTCTGGCCTGGTCTTATAGAAGACGAGAGACAGCAGTCCAAAGAGCCGAGGTGTCTTCTTCCCTGTGTAAAAAAGGAAGAAGACGAGGCCTGGGCAATTGATTCGAGTCCTTTTGGTAGCTGTCAAGGGATGAAAGCAGAAGAAGAGCGGAAGTTGTTGATATGTAATGTATGTATGCAGCAGTGAAGCCGGGGAGAGTAGTAGGAACAAGCGCCAGTCACTGCTCTCCTCCCGTGACGAAACGGCCCGTCACCACACCGCCGAGTGGGCAGCCGAGTCTCGACTGCTCAAGTGGATGGCCGTCTTCCGCCCACTCTCCTCAAAACCTCCCGGGGCCCGCAGTTCGTGAAATGAACATGTTATTGTTGGTAGTTAATTGATAATTGTTTGACGTCACAACCTCGGCCAAGGCGCAATTTTCTCCCTCGACTTTCCCGCCCCGCGCAAGGAAAGAAACGCCGAGTTCCGACGTCATGTGATGTCCCGTCGTGCCCTACCCTTTGGGACGAAAGCGAAGAAGAGTTTCGCTGCTTTGATATAAAGTTAGTTGGGTTCAATAAAGTACATCGCGGCGGCTATAATATGACGCGCTCTGATCATCGCCACTGTGGTGGATTCGTTGCTGGGTAACATGCGCTAGCTGGCAGGACTAACTAGCCAAGTCGAGGCGACCGTGGCCCGCACGGGAGGAATAAGGGGACCCAGAAGGCTGCAGGGGTGCGACTCCTTTTGACTGACACAGACAAGACAAGACAAGACAGGCAAACGGACGGGCTGGCAGATAGACAGGCAAAGCAGCACAGTAATGCATGCCGGGCTTGCATGACGGGGCGCATGATGTGGGAGTGCAAAGAAGGCAAGGGTTGCACATCCCTCGCTACCGCATGCCTGTCCCCCGTCCAGACATGGTTACTTAGTTACGGCCAGATACAGGTACGGATACCAATACAGCCAGACATGCAGCTACCGCGGCACGGGAGCGGGAGAGCAGCGAATCATCCCGGGGGATTGAGACGGCGAACAAACAGCCAGCATCCTTGCTGCACTAGTGAGCCAGTCACCGAGTCCATCCCACCCCCTCTTCGTCCCGCGCCCGGAGATGGTTCTGGACGGAGATGCCTTACAGACTCCGTACGGAGTCGTCCGCGCATGGCGATGGGCGATGCTTAAGTGCATAACTACTTAAACTAGCCTACAGACGACATACCAACAGCATTCCCAGATTCCGTTTGTTACACACTCAGGACGCACAGCAAGCTCGGAAGACGAAGTTATGCCTTTCCTTACCCCTGCATGTGCACCCAGTCTGTCGACATACCGCTTACGGCTAACTCCGTCCACCACCCAACAAGCACCCCCATTAGAGTGACATGAGGGATAACAAATTACGGTTTTTGCGGCCCATTGTGATCGAAAGGTGAGTGGCCGTTGTGAAATTTCGAGCTCTACTTACTCCATTCATCCCCCTGCATTTACACTGCATATCTGCTCGATGCCCAACAGGGCAGCCCGACACTTCGTTTGACGACTTCATTGCGCTACCGACCTACTCAACATGCTCTCAATCGCCATCCACAGAAGTATAAATGAGTACACCGTGTGTGTGAGTAATAATAGCCAGGCTTTGTGTCGGGCCAAGGTGTGCTATCTCGTCTACCGCTATCATGCACGAACAAGGGTGGCTTCATGCGTGATGTGCCAAACAAGGTATCTGCAGGCTATGATCTTATACCCCCCTGGTGAGATGGTTGTCTGTCTCTTGAAATGGACTGTACTGAGTTTGAGGTTTGAGCATGGGTGAGTGTGTGTCAGGCTGGCCTGGACGGGTAGGCAGGCGCATACGGAATATGGACATGGAACTAGCCAGTTTACGTATGTATGTATGTACCTTACAGCGGTTCGTTCTCATTTGTCTCAGACGAGAAGGGGAGAAACGAGGTAAGTAACTAAACAATATCTTGTATGTCCGCGCATATATAGTTATATCTACAGACAGAGAGAGACAACAAACAGAAAAATCAACGGTATAGTGTGCTCGACTCCAAGGAAGTGAAAACGGCCATGGAAAAAAAAAAAGGAAAGAAAAATAATAATTCGAAAAGCACCAATGAGAGCAGGGTAAATCAGGAATATTACTAGCTAGTACAGCTGAGTATGGTGGTATATCAAATATCAAAGCCAAACAAGGGTTGGCGAATATAACTGGAACATAGCATAGATAAACACGCTATGTGAAGCTTTCATGGGTCATCGCAGCGAGGAAAAGAGGTAAATAATGGTAAGGGTAAAAGGGTAAAAAGGATGGGAGGTAAGTTAAGGAAGGGTACGGGTAAATAATGGAAGTGTGTGGTAGATCCGGGTAATTTGAACGTTCAGTCAAGTCAATCAATCAAGGTAAAAGCAAGTAGATGTACGAAATCAAGGAAATAAGATATAAGAGAAAATAATATATAAAGAAATGAAGACAACACATGCCCGATTAAGTGCGTTCATTGGTAGTCGGAGTACCCACCATACACGGAATTATGAGCATAGTTGGAGAACGAGGAATTCGTGTGATGGTGACTGGCTGTGTTTGCGTTTCGAAGCCGGCGTTCTAGCAGAGAATAGTTAGTATCGTCCGATGCAGCCATTGATTTTACAGTTAACCAGTTAAATTGTAGGGAAGTGGGAGCGTACCTTTTTCGAAATCCCTCCATCTCTTCATGGTGATCTTGCTACTATCAAATTCTCCCTCATACTCTATTCCAGCAGTCTTGGTCTTTTCGCCTGCCGTCTTTCGAGTATCTCCCCAGCTGAAATCGTCGAACTTCCAGTATGCGTAAGTGGGCAGAACGAAGTTCCAGATGGGCAGGGAGAGGAGGTATATAAACATCCAAAGCACGTATGACAGGCGGTGGGCGGTGACTACGATAAGAACTGCAGGGAGACCGAGAATCAGGGCCAGGAGGATGAGAGGGATGATTTGAACGGGGCTTCTGACGATGGAGATGATTACGACGTAGAAGGTGAATGCGATGGCGGCGGGGAGAACGAGGGTTCCGACGAGTTCCATGAAGACGACGAATTGCATGCTGAAGCAGAATGTGCCGCAGAGGTCGCGGACGAGAACGAGTTCCATTAGGTTATGTACGGTAGAGTTAATCCATCGTCGACGCTGGGAGAGCAGCACGGAGAATTTGTCGGGAACGGTGGTCTTGCATACTGCCTGGGGAACAAAGACTTGTTTACGCTTGGGGAAGGTTCGGAGCATGAGAGTCGACAGGTATCGATCCTCACCTAGGAGGAGGAGATTCTTCTTGTGCAGCGTGTCCACGACGTTTTCGGAGTAGTGTTCGACGACGTCCGGGTTAGCGAGGATGGGTACCCAGTAGTTCTGGCCGCCCTTGGGAGCCTTGATGCGGTACATGCAGAAACAGCCGGGAAGACAGGTGACACCTCCGAAGACGGACTCAAAGGATTTCGACAAGTGGTGAGAAATGAAGTATTCGAACACCTGGATCATGGTGACCCAGCTGTCGGCCTTGTTGGCGATCTTGGTCTCGCCACAGAGGCCCATGATATCTGGGTCGCGCACCATGGCCGAGAGCATGTGGGTGAGACTGTCCGGGAAGACCTTGGTGTCTGCGTCGACCATGAGGACGACCTCGTAGAAGTCAGGGGAAATGCCGGTGATCTTCCAGAGACCGTTGAACATCTCGAATTCGAGCTCGGTCATTCGCTCGTCGAACATGACCTTTTGAAGGAAGGACATGAGGATGATCTGGCTGTCTCGTTTTCCTCTGTTTCCGGGCTTGCTCTTGTTGGCTTCCTCGGGGGTTCCGCACTTGACGACCACCATCATGGGCACACGCTGCTGTTTCTCGATTGGGACGATGGAATCTGGGCCGTAAGAGTAGAATCCAGCGTAGATCTTGGCCATGTTATGACGTTTTGAGCCGGAGGCCACAGCAACGTAGGAGAAGGGCTGGACGTCGTCTGGATGCACGGCGTGGTCGCCCATCATGCTGAGCACGGCGTCTGGGGTGGAAATGCTCTCGCCTTTACCCTTGATGATACCGTCACAGATGACAAGGATAGTCTTGTGGCTGTTGGGGTAGTCCGTCAGGGCAATTGAGTCCAGAGTGGTGCGGATTCCTTCAACACCTTCCGAGTAAGCGGTAACTAGACACAAGGTATGGGCCAGTGGGTAGCCAAACGGCTGCCACTCCGGTGGAGGCTGTGGCACGACGGCCTCGTGGACGAACTCGGCAGGGCCCTGACCCTCGATATCGCTGATGGTAGAGTGGCGGTGGTCATGGCCGGGGACCATGAGACTGGTACGGCTGCCAACGAGACTGTGTCGGGGGTCGGCGCTGAGGGTTCCCTGGCTCGGGTTGCCGCTAAGCTTGTACATTGGCGCTGCGCTGAGACGGTTGGTGTTATTCTGGCTGGACATGGTGGTGATGGTGTTTCGCTGCTTGTTTGTGCCGACGACATAGGGGCTGGAGAAACGCGAGGTAGTCGGGAAGATGGTAGAGCCACGCTTGCTGGAGCGGTCAGGCATGGCCGGATCAGCGAGACGGGGGCCGGGACGGTAGATGTCGTTACTCCAGTCTTCGATCTGGCGTTTCCGTTCTTTGGAGCTGGGGTCCATGGCTGTTTTGGGAGCTGCGAATCGGCGGGCAAGGAACCACTGGAAGGCCAGGGCAAGGAGGAACTTGACGACGACGACGGACAAGATGAAGATGAGGGAGATGTAGAGCACGACCTTGGAGGCGATACATCCGACGGTCTCGGTGTCGATGGAGCCGACCTTGATGATCTGGGTCAGACACTTGAACATCCTCTTCTCGGGCCCGGTCTGGAAACGGTGGGTGACGTCAATACCGCGCAGCTCCTCGCTCTCACGGAGCTGGTCGAAGCGAGACGGGTAGGAGACCTCGCTAGTGTTGAACCACTTGAGCAGGTCGAGATCGAGGACATTGCCAGAGTAGACGAGCAGGTTCCTGCTCTTGTTCTTGAGGTCATCCCAGGAGAAGTAGACCTCACCCGTAGCGTAGAGGTCGTAGAAGGCCTCACGGGCTGTGGCAGAGGTATGGCACTTGTATCCGAGGTACTCTGGAGTGGTGAAGTTTGGCTTTGACGAGCCGTCCTGGTTGAAGGTGACGCAGGGGAAGTACCATCCCATGTCGCCGTCGCTGTTGGTAGGGATGTCTGAGCCTGCCTTGGGGGTGATCATGCCCTTGCATGCGCCATTGACGTTCTGGAAGAGAAAGCTGCCGTCCTGGCCGCCGTACCCGTCACCGGAGAAGACGACGACAGATGCGTCCGGCAAACCGAGGACGGCTGGATGGCGGGAGCTGGCGAGGTTGATGGCGCGTCCATGGAAGATCATGTATCCCTGGTCGACCTCGTTGACCTTGAGACGGACGGGAGGAGCCGCACAGACGACCTGGGTGAATCCGAAGGTGAGGAAGCCAACGAAGCCGCAGATGAGCAGGATCAAGCTGATGAGGCCCACCTTCTCTCTCCATGCTCTCCGCTGGGCCTTGGCCGGCATGCCAAAGCACTTGAGGATAAAGTCCGGGGCCCAGAACGTGACCATGCCGCAGTAGACGTTCCACAGGCTGGGCGGCTTGATGTTGTCCATCTCCTGGCGTCTCTTCTCCTCCAGCCTGCGTTCCTCCTTGGTCGACTTGGAGGCTTTGCGAGAGAGCTTCCGCTGCACACGGCGCTGGGAGTCCAAACCATGCTGTCTGTTAGCACCACCGGCGCCTGTTGGACGGGAAGACGGGGCTGGCGGTACTCCGCCTCCGCCTCCTCCAGTGGTAGAGGGAATCGAGTTGACGTCGATGCTGGGGTTCCGTTCGAGACTGGTGGTGTTCCTCTCGGGCTTGGTGAGGCTCTTGAGCCCCGTGCTGCCGGAGCTCACTGTCTCAGAGGTGTCAACAAGGTCCGGTCCGCCGCCCTCGGACTGCTCCTCGTAGACGGGGTCGTTGCCCGTGGTGGACGGGTATACGGACATGTTCTGAGCATGCTGGCGGTAGTGGTAGTTTGGATGGTCACGGCTGATCCTGTGGCGCTCTGGACGGACGAGACTGCGCTTGCGACCGAGCTCGCCGGCGGGTGTGGGCGAGGGCGACGGGCTGGGGGACTCGATGTCAGGCCGCCGGCGCTGGTAGGAGTCGCGGAAGGACGGCTGGCTGGGCGAGGACGAGGACGCCCCAGGCCGCTGCGGGAGGGACATCTATATCAGTTCATCCACTCTCATCCACTTTTCATATAGCTTCTCGTCTTTCTTCGTGTTGTTGTCGTGGTGGTAGTGGTCGTGGTAGCGGTACGTGGTGGTCGTAGATGTCGTCGTGGCTGTGGTTGTGACGGTGGTAGTAGGGGGTCGGGCAGGCTGGTAACGAGCGACTGGCGGCAGACAGGACAAACGCGGGCGCTAAAGTGGCATCTGCTGCCTCCGTCTCTCTCTCCTATTATCTCTTTCTATCCTTTCTCAACCTCGTTCAGTCTCGTCCTTCGGCTGTTCCTCTTCGTGTCTTTCTCGTCCTTTTGTTCTTTTGTTGATGTTTTGGGAAAATCAGAAAAAGCGAAGAAAAAAAGAAAAAAAAAGAAAAAAAAGGGACAAAATCACGTGATAAGTTACGCCGGGCAACGAGATAGAGTTTAGCGGTATTAAGGTTACACAAGTTACCGGCACAAAAGGGGCGAAGTCTGGTAGAGACGGTAATTACATTACAGACATAACACTTTAATAACACTTTTATTACGATGAAGTTGATATTAAAGCCGATAATAAGACGAAGACGAAGAGGAGAAGGATAAAAAGGACGTCAGGTGAGACGATGAGGAGGAAGAGGTCGGGCGAGCAGTGAGACACAAGAGGAGCCGGCGGCTGGAGAAGGAAGAAGAGGAAGAGAAGCAAAGACGAAGGAGAAAAGGGGCTGCTTCGGCCTTGCGTGTCTCAGATCTATAAAAGATACAAGAGATAAAGACGACAGCGGCTCAGATGAGCAGAAAGACGCATGAAGACATATAATTAATAAGGAGAGAAGAGCATAAGAGCATAAGAGAAGAGAATAAGGAGAAAAGAAGAGAAGATAGAGGCTTCGCCTACGCCTAAGCGAGTCTCCATGCAAGCGCTTCATGCTTCGTCTCTTTTGACTCTAATAATAAACCGGCTCCATAGTTGTATAAGATAGACGGTTCCCTCTTATTACTATTGCTATTACGAGTTAGCTGGCTGTGAATTGACGTCTGTCCGCAGTTTAATCATGCAAAGCCGCTGCATGTAAGTCGCTGTCCCCCCTGTCGTCCGTCGGGCCATAGAGTCGCTTCTGCGCTGCGCTGCCCTCGTATATCAAACCCGCCAGGCCATACAGAGCGTAGAGATAGTCCGGATAGTTCGAGTCTGACTGCGAGCCTCATCTCAGCCACCGAGCACAGCATCAGCAAAAGGTTGAACTGCTCCTCCTGCTCCTCCTGTGTCTGCGTCTCTGCGTCCCTCGTTCGGCTGTCCGTCGCTCTGCTTTGCTGTCCTCCCTCTCTCGCTAAGCCTGCACTGCTCACTGCTCACTACGGAGTCCTTCATTCAGCCGCTCTCTCTTTGCCTCGTCTTGCGTGGAGCAGTTGGATCTCAACTCAACTTTGCGTCAGAAGACTCCACCAGGAGGAAAAAAGTCCGTCTCTTATTAACCAGCTCGTCCTGATCGTCATTCTTCTTCGTCTGTTTCTTCGTCTTCTTCTTCCGCTCGTTCGTCATGGGCTTCGTCTCGTTGCACTGAAATCAAAAGCGTAGTAGGATCATCCCTCCCCCCCCTTGCTTCGTTGACCGCCGGCGGCTCTACTCTGACTGACACCCGGGATCTCGACAGGTAACTGAACAGGACAGGACAGAGACCACTTTGCTGCATTAGCCAACAGGGAAAACCGGCCTGCGGAGTTGAAAGATTGGCCCACCGGACGAGAGCAGCCCTGCTGTCGAGTTAAGATAAAAAGGGACCCGCTGGAGGTGTTGCTCGATATACCATCTGAGACCGGAAAAAAAGGAACGACAAGACACAAAACAACAGGATACAGGATACAGGATAAGGATAGGGATAGGGATACCAGGAATAAAGAGACAGACAGAAGCCATGGGCAGCCAGGGTCCCGTCTCGCCGCCGCTGCCAGTCTACCTGCGCTCGGTGCCTGCGAGAAAGGAGCACCCGGTTCTTCCGCCTGTCGACAACCGCGCTGTCATGCACGGAGGGCCCGTCTCGCCCGTGAGGATAGACGCAGCGGCGCCGCAGCCGCAGCCCTCGAGCGCAGAGATGGGCCATCATCTCCACGACGGCAGCAGCATTCTACAGCCCGGCAGCGGACAGGACAGCCCCGACGCGCAGTCAGACGCCCGGCACAGCGAGGAGAGCCCGCGACAGCATCATCGAGCCCTACCAGCCGCTCCAGTACCGAAT